GCCAGTGATATTTTAAACCATGGAAATAGACACGTCATGGCTATGTTCGCTCAGTCAGAGGAGTTGCAGCTTTTTGGGGCTTGGGAGTGTGTTTTGGTTTGTTTTTCTTTTATCTAACAGCACAGCAGATATAAACAAGTGTGCGATACGTTAAGTATTCCAGGAACTTTCAACTCGCTGACATGGTCCTCGGGTTAAATATCCCACAAGTACCTGAGCTCCTTCCACATGCCCAGCACTGTGCCAGGCACCATGGTTATGGTACGAGTTGTAGCTTTTGCCTTTAAAGGGCTTTTCACAATCATGATGCTGACAATGATTGCCGACATTCGTTAAGTGCTTTCAGTGTAACAGACTCTTTTCCAAGTGCTATATGCTGATAAACTCAATGAATCCTACAACTCTTTGTGGTAGGTACCATATTGTTTTCCTAATGTTAAAGACAAGGAAAATGTAACACAGAGAGATTAAATAGGAGTCTAAGATTAATCACACGAACCCAAGTATCCAACCTAGGAAACAATGCTGCTGACCACTGGATTACCTCACCTTGGTAAGATCTGTGCATTGTTATACGACTAAATGCCGAAGACAGTGAGAGCTTGGACACAAGTACTCTGGGATAAGAGAAGGAAACAGCAAATATGGGATGAACTGGCCTCAAAAGATGATTGTGAAGGACCCTTTAACTACTGAGAAGAGGAGGGATCGAAGCATAGACTGGAAAGAAGGACAGGATTTGGTTAGACCAAAATGGTGAGCTAGATAGTTGTAGGACCAGAAGAGCTTCACGAACAAAGGCCTAAGAGTGAAACCAGTCCTGTGCATCAGGGAAGGTGTGGAGAACTGTGAATGTGCTGAGGAGAGCAGAGGCAGAGCGAACGGTTAGGGCAATGAGCAGATGCACTGTGTTGAAGGTGGTGAGATCCCAGAGACCTGCACGCATCGAGACTCATCCTACTGTACCCTTCGCATAGATCAGTGATATCTCACCAAGGTTGTTTGTAACCCTGAAAATGTAAAGGTGAGCGCACTGTATGGCTCAATTTATCTGCCGTTCTGGGAAAGGCAAAATGAGATCACAGTACTAAATGAAACCAATCAGACACACAAGGTTAAATGTCACATGGTTTCTTTTGCATGAGAAACCCAAAGTAGAAACAAGGGAAAGAGCAAATTAAAAGGTCGATGATGACAGGGAATGGGGAGGGAGGATTTGTGGAGATGGGAAGGGGTCTGGGGAAGGGAGGAAATGGGAGATGGGTGAGAGGAAGGGGAAGTAAAAGGAACAAGATGCAATGTGTGTATGTACCAGTTCCCCATGACGAATGTGTGTACTGTGTATTCAAAAAATAATTTAAAACACAAAATCCGTCATTGGGGATGAGAAAAAGGGAATTTGGGCATGGAGGGGTGAAAGCAGTCTATACATTAATTGTCAAAACTCTTTTGTTAAGATTCATGGAACTGTACATTAACTATGGTGGATTGTACTGCATGCAAATATATACTAATACATCTGACTGTTTTAACAAAGTAAAAAGATCACGCACACATATACACATCTGCGTCTGTTTGCTAACAGAGGTAATAAACAGATTCTTCTCCTGATGAGGCGGCAATGTTGAAAAATCCAGTGAAGACTTCAAGACTGACTTCCCGCATGCGTATGGCCTCTCACGGCTTTTAGATCTTTTCATATCTAATACGCCATGGGATCCAGTCACCCACCTGAGCAGGAAGAGATGAGGAGGGACTGCGCACTGATTGCCGAGTGCGGAAACTGAAGCCAGGTAGGTTAAAGACTCTTGCTCAATGTCCCACAACTCAGCAGGCGTGGAGTTGGGTGCAGTCCCAACAGGCCTTCTGAGGTCTAACCTGTTGCTCTCCCATATCCCCGTTGGCCACTGCCCAGCCCACCCGCAGCTGTGTGGCCTAATCAGCAATCCATGGTCTATATGGTCTTGTGTGTTCAGAGAGGAGTCCAAAACCCCCATCCTGGAGGAGGCTCCTTTCAGTCTGCCCTCTGCATTTGAAATCACAGTGGGAACCACAGATATGTGATGCTGACAGCATGGTAAAGACAGGACTTCTTCAGTGGTTTTCCTCCCCCAAATCCTTAGTCTAATGAAACATCAGACAAACCCAAACTGAGGGATAATCTATAAAGCACCTGAATGGTATTCATCAAAACCATCAAGACCATCAAAAACAGAGAAAAACTGAGAAACTGTGGTTTCCTGGAGGAGATCCAGGAACAGAAAAAGGACATTAGAGGAAAAGCTAGTGAAATCTGAATAGATATTGGAGTTCAGTTAATAATAATAATTGCCAATGTTTGTTCCTTACTTCTGACGAAGGTACCATGCTGATATAAGATGTTAATGATAGGAGAAACGGAGAGATGGGTTTATGAGAACTCTCTGTACTACCTTTGTAACTTTCCTGCAGAACTGAAATTATTCCAGAATAAAAAGCGCATTTAAAAGAATCTTAGTGAAGCACTGGATAATTCTGTCCTTCCTGTTGAATCTTCTCCCAATAAGCAAAGGATATATTTTGTATTTAACCAGAACAATTAATTTTCAAGCCAAGGACAGGAACTTCTCTGATTTTGCTCATAAAACCTCATGCAAGATGGCCTGGTACTAAGAGTCATCTAGCTCCTCCCCCCAGAGCCTTCTGTCTTCTCCCTGTCACAATACACCCTGGCTCTAGGGACACTGAGGGTCAAAGGGCAAGGGAAACCTCCCCACTGCTGAGAAGGGGACAGGTGGCCAATGACGAGCCACCTGCAGCACCATCCTGGAAATAATCTCTCAGCAGGGCAAAAGCAAGTTCTTTTGGACACCAATGAAGCAGGAAAGTGGTGTTAACCAAACTATCATGCAGGTCTTTCTATTATTGGTAAATAAAGGCTGAACCTGTCCTTCAGTACCAAGAGTAACAGTCTTCATGATTCTCCCCTTTCTACCCTCCATCCTCTGAGAGCATCTGGTGAGGATCTTTCCACCCTAAATTCTTCCAAGGATGCCTCCCACACATAAAACTTTCTGTTTGGATTCCATTCATCACCACAGCTCTCCTTTTTTCTCCACCAGACCCTTATCCTTCCCTCATTCTCCTCCTGTCTTAAATGATATTCTGCTTCCACTGTGGCCACTCTCTTGAGGACTGAGCCTGGCCTGTGTCTTTGGTGGCAGCGACAGCCCACAGAGCACAGTCACTCCAGAGTACCCGTAGGGGCCAGATAGTCACCTCAGACAGGTACTGCGTCAGAGTCTGCTCCGGGCATCAACATGCACCTTTGACTCCGACATCCTCCTCCAGAGCGACTTTGATATGTTTGTCCATCCCACGGATGTTTCCTTCTCAACTGGCTCAGTTAGGAAAAGTGAAGTTTGGGTGAGGATTCAGTTAGGAAACAGTTAGGAGTAATCTTAACGGAGATGATAAATGGGAGTAGTTGTGCACCAAGAACTGAGAACCGAGAAGACACAGAAGGAACATGCCATTGTCAGCAAAATAACCGTAGCAAGCACTCTCAGCCACGGCTGGAGGAACAAAAGGAAGATGAGGGGGCCACATGCTGAAGGCCCCCACACCTCTGAGGAAGGCAGGCCACCAGGCTGGGCTGGGATTTTGGGGTGGGGCATGCGAAGAAGCTAGTTTTGAGAGTGTGGGAAAGAATGAAAGCCAGACCTAGCTGCTTTACTGAAATCAACTGCCAAGGTGAAGAGCATCGCTAGGTGATACTGGCAGGAAATGGAACCAAGCACCAAGCAGCACTTCCTTCCTCCTGCTTCCTGTCTCTATGGAGCACCCCCGCCACTAGCTGAGCCTGCTAGGAATCTGCAGGACAAAAGCAGAGAAGCACCAACCCAGCACCACAAAGCAGGGTAGGAAAAAGTAAGTGGGAGCTGTGTACTAACCAACAAGAAGCCAGTGGAAACAGAAAAGAAAGATGAGATATAAATTTATAATTGATCAAATAACTGTTCCAAATATAAGCCATGTCAATGTATATACATGCATGAATAGATCATGTTCTAATGGCAACTTTCAATTTCTAATGATATCCAATATTTACTAAGACTTTGCCAGGAATCAGACAAGTGACCGGTTTCAGTCCTCACAACAACCCGAGGAGGTAAAGACCAAAAGAATCTTAATTGTATAGATGCACACAGGAACACTTAAGAAAAGTTAAGTTGCTTCCGATGCTCAGCAAGTGGTAGATCCAAGGCAAGATCCATAAAGCGCATGCCGTTATCTGCCAAGCACAACAGCTATAAAGCCTGATGTCCCTTCTCACTAACACTGTCTGGAGCCCCTCGAGGCAGAGGGCCACCAGATCCCTCTGTTCCCAAAGTTGTAGTGTTTATCAAAGCATATCCGGAGAGCCCACTGCACAAGAAAGTGCACACACACACACACACACACTGCCAAAGGAAAAGCAGGAAACACACTGCGGTCCTATGCAGCCCAGACAATTATGATACAGGCACATCTATTCACATGCCAAGACGATAACAGCTAACATTTAATAAGATGTTCCCATGTGCTGGACACTGTGTTAAGGGCTTTTTGGACCTCACCATATTTTATCCTTGTAACAACCTGATATGGTACATCCAATCATTATTATCTCCATTTTGCAGATGAGGAAACTGAGGCACCAGAGAGGTTACATAACTTGCTGAAGGTCCTACAGATAGTAATTGACAGGGCCAGTGTCTGAAACAAGGCTATCGGACTTCAGAGAGCATGATGTTAATCGCCACACTGCTCTGACTCCAGAACATAAACATTTTCATGATACCTTATTCTATTAAAAAGAAAATGTGCATAGCTAGTGTTGTGCCTGCCTATAAAAAATGAATATATACACAGGTATTTACATGTACATACAAGTATATAGGTGTAGGGAGTTTAATTTTAGTTTATAGGGCAAGGTCAGAGGGGTTTATAATAAAATATTAACAATGGATACCCCAGAAATGCAGTTTAATTTTTTTAACTTCCTTATTTTTGTATCACTGTATAATCTCTTCAATAACCACTCTATGTAATCACACTTTAAGTTTTTTTTTAAAAGGAATAATGTCATCTCGGGGAAAATGATCTGGCAATTTGACCAGCTGGACAATATCTGGAATGGAAAATAAAAGAGGAAACTTGTGTCCCTCACCGACGTGCACAATAGAAAAGACAGTCAGCAGCATCTGCTTCACTTGGGCAGGATAAGAAAGCAGTTGTGGCCAGTCATTTGCATACCTAAATAAGCAGGAGCCAAGTCCTACATGCTGTTTTAACTGAGGTCCCGTCACAGCACCGTCCAGGGCATTTGCAAATGTACTGAACACTAGCGTGACGATTCCACTCCAAATCCCAGGCCTTCCAGACTGCAGTCAAGATCCCTCGGTCCCTCCGAGCACCCGGCAGTTGTGAGCTGGATAGCATTGTCTGTCGTGGTAGCTGTGATGTTATCCCTTTGCTTCAGGAGTATTCTCTCCAATTTCCCCAAGCCATGTGTTGCCTTGGAAACATCATGATTCTTATAGAGATCTAAGCAAGGGAAAATAATAAAAATAATAAAATCTTCCATGTAAAATCTATCTTTCATGCCACTGAGATGCCTCGCTAACCCCTTCCTCTGGATAAAACGTCTGACAGAGCGGCTCCTAGTGTGTACCACGCTGATCACTAACAATGAGAGGAAACACTCTGGTCTCTGTTCTCTGGATAACTCAGGTCAACACAGTTTTCCAGCAGAATGAAGCAGGTTGCCAAGGCCAACACTTTCCTGAACAGAAAGATTCAGTCTCTTCTCCAGACACTGACATGAATGAAGCCTTTGCAGGAGTAGGCGAGGAAGCACTCTGCCATCGGGCCTTTAGTTCATGTGGAAGAGGGCCTAGCGCATGGATGGCAAACCTATGACACGTGTGCCACTGCAGGGTGTTTGTGTTACTGAAAGCTCCAGAAGGTTCGCCATCACAGGTCTCGGTTCATCCACACAGCCCTCCCTCAGTCTAGAGCTATGGTCAGCAAACTCATTTGGTATAAGGTCAGATATTTAATATTTTCAGCTTTGCAGCCAAATTGGCTTTGTCACTACTCAACTTTGCTCTTGAAAGGCAAAAACAGCTACAGACGGTAGGTAAAAAGGAATGAGCATAGCCATGTTCTAATAAAACTTTATAAAACACACAGTGGATTAAATGAGTGTGTGTGTCTGTATGTGTGTGCACGCACATGCATGTGTTATTCAAAGATTACCCTGAGGAAAACCTAAGAGTGGCAAAGTTGTTCTCATTGGTTTATTCAGGAACGGTAGTGCATCTCTTAGCCAGGCTGTGGCATAAACATTGGGACAGAAATAGAAAAACAAAGTCCCTAGAGTTTATGTTTGCTAAAGGAGGACATAACAAGCAAGTAAAAAAACTTGAATTTCTGGTAACAATAAATGATACAAAAACTGGATAATGTAGTGGGGAGAGAGACCTCCTCTAGATCACATGGTCGGGGAGGACTCCTGAGCAAGCACCTTTGACCTCACGTGAAAGTGAGGAGAAGGAACCGCAAATACAGACCTGGGTGAAGAGCAGGCTCTCCATAGTCAAGAGTCCACATCAAACCCATATCAAAAGGCTGGAAATACGAATTGGCTTAATGGGTTTGAAGACCAGAAAGACCAGTCTGGCCAGAAGTGACATAATAAACAAGCAGAAGATAGTTTTAGGTAAGGCTACGACAAAAGAGGTGGCAGGGGCACCATTACACATAGGACCTTCTGAGTCAGGGGATGTCACCTAGGCCTCCGCTTACTGCTGTGTGGCTACCTTGGCTTTCTGTAAACTCACCTGAAGTCACACGCTCTGGACCATTCTCAGCACTCCTTACATCCGCCAGGTGTGGCTCGTCCTGAGCTTTTAAAGATGTTTTTGGCAGAGCAGTTTCTCCTGAACACACCTGCTTTCACCCAAAGTGACAGAAGACAGATTTAAATAAAATTAATAAAGTGGTAAGATTTTAGGCACTCAATCAAATGTCTTCCAAGCATCATTCTTTCCTAAAATCAATGTTTAAGCCAAGCAGAATAAGGAAGCCATTAGCCAAGCGATTCCAGGGCCATCTTTACAAAATAAAATAGGTAAAAAGTAAAAGCAAAGCAAAAAAACCCTTTAGCTTCACTATTCTCTATTCTCTACCAACAACAATAATCTGTAAACTAGAAAGCGTAGAATACACACATTTAAGAGGGCATCAGACTCAATGTGAACTAGTGAGATAGTCCCAAGCTATTTGAGATGAATGGGCCAGGCCACAACAATGACAGCCCAGGGTAGGGTGGGCATCTCTAACATCCCTGTTAGAACTGAGACCTGGAGAGGAGATGGAAAGGGCAATGCTCATCTTTCCAGAAAGGGTCACGAGGCAGATTCTAAAACTGCCGGTCTCCAGGAAAAATAATGAAAGGATAATTAAGTAGTAGCATTTATTCAACAGTGGGGAAGTGGTGAACGCTAAAACCAGCATGGCCCACTAGGATCAAATCTGAAAAGGTCTCCTGGCTTGTCCGATAGGGTGGTCACGTGCAAGAGGAGTTTATTATACAACCAAGGTTGAGCACCAGGGTGCAGCAGTATACAAGACAGATATGGTGCTTACGACTAACAGTGGAGGTCTTTAGGATACACCTCTGGGCTCTGTCTTCAGTCCTATCTTGCTCAACACTCTTCTATGGAGGCCCAATGGGGTGGGCTGAAGCTCCTGGGGAAGAATGCAGTATGAATGTTATAGGTTACACGAGAATGCCCTCAAACGCCTCGTGTACTCATAGGCGGGGCTTTTGGAAAGTGACTGAATCATGAACTCTGCAGCTAAATGTGTGGTTAGGAGATGGTTTGGTCACAAGAAGCTAGTTAGTCGGGGTATGACCTGGACCCTGTCTGGCTCCTTGCTTCTCTCTCTCTGCTTCCTAGCTGCCATGATGTAAGCAGCTTTCTACTGCCCCTTTACCACTCCGACACTGCCCAACAGCCAGCCAGCCATGGACTGGATCAGCGAGCCAACATAAACCTTTCTCCCATTCAGTAGTGGTGTCAGTAATTATGTCCCAGCAACAAGAGGTACCCAAGTCAATGAATAAATACTCAGCCTGTCATAAGTTAACCCAAAAGTATACCATGCAGACTTCTGCTTAAAAATAATTTGACCACAGATGCTTACCTACTTTCCCTCCCAGGCAAAGAGTATGGAAAAGAGGCATTAGTGGATGGGATATTTCAATAAATCATTGCCAAGTTGCCTCACAGAGCATTGCAGAGGTTAAAGATTTGATCAAATTTCCACCGAGAAGGGCCGGGCTATATAAGAGCTGCATCTGAACATTGGAAGCTCTGTCTTTCTTTCCCACCAGACACGCAGGGTAGAGCAGCTGGTGTAAATGCCACCCCTCTCACCACCAGCTGTCCCCAGGGAGGAGATCAGGGCATGGACCTGAACAATCCTAAAAGATGCACATAGCGATGCTTTGTTTACCCCCCAGTGTCAGCCTCCTACCCAATCAGCCAAGAGCAAAGCCGGCCAACTGGGATGATCATGATCTTTAGAGAGAGGCAGTGCTCAGCCAATAGAAAAAAGGAAAGCGAAGGACACTGATACAATGCAGGAAGCAAAGGCTTGCCGAACAATAACAACAAAAGAAAGCAAGCTAATGTTTCCTTTAAAAGGATACTGCATATAAAGAAGAACAGACTATTATGAAAAATTAAAAAGAATAAGAAAAAGCTTTCAAAATTACAGAGATGGTCTATATAAGTAAATGAAAGAGTTGGGCTATAAAGTTGAGGAAATTTAAGTAAAAAGAACTGAAAATATGGAGACAAAGTAAAAGATTTCATAGACAAAACACAAAGACCGGTGTCTAATAAACAAGAATTCCTGAAAAAAAGAGAACAGAGAAAAAGGAAAGGGAGGAATTTCTACAACTATAGATGAATGAATGGATCTCCAAGATGAAGGGCCCACGTGGGCCCAGCAGAGCAGTGACAAACAGCCTTCAACAAGCCTTTTCATAGCAGAAATCCGAGCTCTAGGGATAAAAATAAACCTCCCAATGCTTTTGAGGGAAAAACCAAGTTACTTTCAAAATACTAAAATCAGACAGATAGGACTTCTCAAGAACAAAACCATACCTTGAAGCAGTGTTTCTCAAACTATTTGCATGTAGTCAAGGACTATATTTTGTTCTCAATCTGCCAGTGCAAAATAAATAGAAATAAATACAAAATAAAGTGTGGAATAAAAGTAGAATAGTGTATGAAAGGAAGAACAGCAATTCAAAAACATGTATAAATTAAAAGCCCTATGTGTTTTATGATAAGTTTCACTAGACATAAAATGAGTCAGTCACATTAGTATCAGTTTCCAAATGCTTCATCTCGTTTCTCAACGGCTCATCACAGATGGAAGACAAACAGTGTGCAGACTGAAATGGGCCATGGACCATACTCTGAGCAGCGGTACAGTAGGAGGAAGCTCTTCAGAACCGCTCCAGAATTCTCATTCTCAACTCGCGGCTCTGTACCCACACTGCCGGTTATTCCAGTGTGACGAGAGCAGAAACACGCAATACTGGGTCTTGAGAAACTGAGGACAATGTACCCTCCTGAATTCTTTCTTCAGAAGCTACTAAGAGGTGCGAAACATGAGGACAGGGGAAATTAAGAGAGTCTAAGACAAGCCCGGGTCCAGGGGAGCGCTTGGCGGACCTCTCTCTGTCATCCCCAGGTGTACAGCCTGGACTGCAGGTGTGGGTGCCACTTCCCCCGAAGAGCCGTCTGCCTGTCGTCCCTTGTGCACACCCACAGGCTTCATGCACATCTGCTGAGGCAGCCAGCAAGGAACGGGCCGGAGAGAGGAAGGCCAGTGATTCCAACCATCCACTTTGTCAGACTGAGATCTTCAGCTTGCTTCTCTTAGACTGACTGTGGACATGTGCCAAAGTAGCCAGGAGGTTTCCTTCTCCTGAGGTCTGCTGGGGCTTAGTCCCTCTTTCCTTTGCACGCCGGAAGTCTTGGAGAAAAATTAAAAATCGAAAATATTTGTATTCCATTCAAGTTAACACCACGTTTTCTGTAATTATGCCTGCTGCTAAAATCATTTTGTTGTGGGCTTTTTAAGCAAGAGGAGGGGGTAAGAAACCAAATTAATTCCTTGGCAACAAAAATCTAATTAATCAAGCATGGTTCTTAGCCACTCAGAGCCTCTTCAGCCCATGGAAATGGCAGCCAAGAGGGAGCAGGAACATTTAACTTGGTAAATCAGGAAAAAATAATCAGGTGTTTCTTCAGCTACTGGCAGAAACTGTATGAGTGAGGGCAGAGTCTTGGGTCTTTCTGAGCTGAGATTCAAACTCAGCTCTGCCACTTCCTGGCTGTATGACCAAGAGCACGTGACTTTGGCCACCTGATTCTCAGTTTTCCCATGTATAAAATGGGAATAATAATATCCTCTCACAGGGTATTTTACCGTGTTGGTCACATGGAAAACACTGTTGATAATGATTTATTAACATCTTCATGCACTGCTGCACGTATAGAAGTTAAATTTTGGGGGGAACCATTTTTAAGCTTTTTTGAAAGCTTTCAAAAAAAAACTAAGTGTATTATACTTTTGGAAATAATACTGAGGGAATAATGGGGAATATGTGGAGAAGATAGCTGTAGAGATGTTCCTTGTGCTCTTGATTCTAATCAAAATGAGAAAATCATTTCAGTGTCCTAAATAGAGATTGGTAAAAATGCACCACAGTGTACCCCCAAAGTAAATAACCACTCTTGAAATTACTACCATTATTCATGAAGCCCATTCTTCAGAGTTAAATGAAGAAAAGCTTAGGAATCCAGATACCAGTTTTCAAGTATGAACCATATTGATTTTGTGAAAAATATTTATCTGTGTGCATATCTATGTACAAAAAAAAAAAAAACTTTCCAGAAGTATGACCAAGGGTTTTTTTGGGGTGATCTTGTTTTAGCTTTGAGTGGTTTTGTTTTAGCTTTGAGTGTTTTTATGTAGCCCATGTGTATTTTTAATTTTCACTATGAATATGTTCTTTGTGATTTAGAAGTTTTGAAATGTTACTTTGCCCTTTACAGAGAGAACCACAGATTTTCTAACTCTGCCCAGCCTCATAGCTCTCTAGATGTGACCCGAGAAGAACCTGGAGACTCTGCAAATACACAAGATGCAGTCACCTGGGTCCCAGTGTGAGCCTGGTTTTTCAAGCCCTGTGATTCCTACCCTGGGCGGCACTGTGCCCCTAGCTTCACAGGCAGTCACTTCTGTGAAAGATAGGAATTCCATGCTGGTACCAAGTGAGGTCACCAGCGACCACCTGCAGGGTTCGTGCGCTGAGCTGTACCTGACAACTCTCATCACCTTCGGGGAGAACGAGCAGTGGAAACTCCGCATGCCTGCCCTGTGATTTCCCTTTACCCCTGTGCAGAACATCCAGCCCTGCACCAGTATCTGGGGTGGCACCAGGCCACACAGGATGCCTGTTTTCCTCATCCCCAGCCCTCAGCTGTCATCCGCTCACACAAAAGAAAAGCTTCTGGGGCTTCAGAGTCTGAGCTGGACTTGAATTCCATCTGCTCAGCTACCACCTGTCTCTCTTCCTGACTCCCTGGTAGAAACCTCCATCCCGTCTCTGATGTCAAACACACAAAGCCACTATTTCAGCTCAGGTGTAGGCCTGGCATTTCACCCACAGGACCCTCCCCATTTCCCTCTTTTGGCTCAGGGGCTGCCAACTGGTGGCCCGTGGACTTTGGCCCTTGCCCTGGATTTTGAAAATGTAAATTTGTTGCCAGTGTATAAATATCATGAAAGTTTTCATTTAAAAAATTAAAACTTGGTTTCTTGCTTCTCTTGGGGAAACCGCACTGCCCTACCATCCTAAGGACAACACATAGCTGTTGCTGAAAGAGGACTACACAGTTTGGAAAGGGGCCGGTGTTTGAGTTCCGAGAGGCCCCACGAGGCCCCCATCACCTGTGTGTGGTAACTGTCTGGCTTCTGACACAACTGGCTTTTCAGTCTCTATCTTCAGAATGCTGCAAAACAGTGAAAGATGGGGAGGAGCCTGCGAAATTGGAGAGCAACCTGTAAGCAACTGCCTTCTCCGCCCTTGTGGAATTGTGTCCCTGATGCATGGCTGAAGGGGGCTACCTGATGGGGTGTGAAAGAGCAGGGCCCCCTTCATTACCCTAATTCCCAGATCCCTGGTGCCAGTTAGGATGTGAAGCAAGGTGCAGTTTACCAGGCTGCTTACCTTCGTCCTCCACTTCACTGTGCAGGTAAGAGCTCTGACTTGGAGGGGTAACCACAGCATTACACAGCCTCGGATGGTTGGCGAAACCCTCGCCTCTCCAGGATCGCCTTTCGTCTTCACAGCAGCCCTTGCTGGGGAGGAGGGCTGGCGCTGTCTGCACATCTGGCACACGAGGAAGGTGAAACGTAGGTGAGAGAGGAGACGTGCAGGCAGGTCTGCTGATGCTGACGCAGGCTCTTCCTGTGGACCTAAGCTGCCGGATCAGAGTTCCTTCTACAGGGCTTGGTGCAGCAGCAGCCCAGGAAACAGGAAGGGGAAGCCAGAGCTGTGGTTTTTCACAGATCTTTAGGTCAGTTGAGGGAGGACTAAGCTACAAACAAAGCCAAAATTGCACTGTCAAGAACAAAAGAGGAAGAGAAGGAAGGGAGCAAGGGAGGGAAAGAGACAAAAAGCACTTGTGTGGGGCCAGAGATGACTGTCCCGGTCTCATTCATATTTTCCCCATTTGATCAGGGCCTACACTAATCCCCCAGAAAGGCTTAAGGTTACAGTTTCAAAATCCTCCGAACTTCCGTGCACAGTCCATGAAACTCCAAGAAAAAATGTTGAAAACCGAGCTTTGAGCACAGCCGGACACAGCAGAAGGATGATGTCGTCCTATGAGTTGCCAGCTCCGATTTAGTCTGAAGACATGCTTCGAGACCCCGAGCCCCGTCCCACACTCTCACGCAAGACAGGAAGCAGATGTTCCTCATGAAATGGCTCTCAGGTGGAAGAAGCAAACCCAGGAGCAAAACGACCTTCACGTGAGATGGAATACTTCATCTGTAGAGGTAAAAACTCGTAAATGGGAAATTGAAAGAGTGATAATGGAACCCTCAAGGTAGGTGGACCAGGGTACTCTTTATTTATTCACTTCAACAAATACTCTGTGTGTTTTCATGTCTGGATTTACAACAGTCACAAAGAGGGTTAGGACAAACCTGACCCTCATGAGCACACCATTCCAGTGATGGATTCCTCTGGTTTCCTTCACATTGATATTGCGTTTTCCAAATTAGCCACCCACAGTAGTATTTCTGGTCATATCTCTTTCAAAACCTTGCTACTCTTCTACCTCAAAGTGGGGTGTATTTCTCCTCCTTTTGATTCTGAAAGGCATTTGTCACTTCCTTGACAAGTAGCTCCCAGCAAAACAGATGCTGCCCATCTCCTGAGGCCAAATCCTAAGAGATGACAAACTCTGTCAGCTTCTCTCTGGGGGACACCATCTTGTGAACCAGGGAAAGCAGCACCATCGTGCTGAAGGAAGAGCAAGCTAGACCATGCAAAGAGATCCTCTGGGCTGGCCAATCTAGAGAGGGATTGAGGCCCCCTGCCCCAAGCCAGCCTGAGACACAGACGAGGGAGTGAAGGTGCAATCAGATGTGTAGTCTCCACCCCTCTAGTCTTACAAGACTTTGGGGAAGATCTAGATGTTATGGACTGGACACGGCTCATCCCTGTTGTGCCCTGCCTGATTTTCTGAGCCAGCATCCATGAGCCTAATCAATGTTTGTCTTAAGGCACTAAATCTTGGGCAATGTGTTGCTCAGCCATAGTGAATGGGACATCTTGGGTCTTGATCAGAAGCATAGAGTTTTCGAGCCAGCAAGAGCGGGTTTAATGCCAGCCCACCCAACTGCCAGTTGTAAGGGTCTGTCAAAGTTACTTCATCTGTGTGAGCCTTGCTCTTCCTCTCCAGCATAAGAATTACATCTACCATGTGTGTCCGTTTTGAGGAACGATGCATAAAGAGTAACTAACCCAGAACTGGGCACAGAGAGCAACTGCCAGGGCTGTCTGGACAGACTGTAGTCATCCATGGCCATGTCAGCTGGCAGACAAGGGTCCTTGAAATAGGTATGCTGGTATAGGACCCCAACTAGCTACAATAAAAAAATATCTACACCTAGACATATAATAATCAAGATCCCAGAAACCCAACAGAAGAACAAAATACTACAAGCAGTAAGAGAAAAGAAACAAACCACATACAAAGGAAAGCCCATCAGAATCACAGCAGACTTTTCAACACAAACCCTTGGGGCAAGGAGAGCCTGGAATGAGATATTTCAAGTACTAAAAGAGAACAACCTCCAACCTAGACTGATGTATCCAGCAAAACTCTCTTTCAAAATGGAGGGGGAAATAAGACACTTCCACGACAAAGAACACCTGAGAAACTACATGAATACCAAACCAGCACTACAAGCAATTCTAAACAAGATCCTAGAAAAAGACAATGAAGGCAACAACACCATGAGGCCCAACAGAGCAAATCAAATAGGCAAGGCAAGAAATTAAAAGGAGAAGGTGAAAAAGTAAAAAGAGTCAACAAAAGGCCAATAACATGTCAATAATAAGTCAGTACATATCAGTTATAACCAGCAATGTCAATGGCCTCAACTCACCAATCAAGAGAAATAGACTGGCAAAATGGAATAAGAAGCAAAATCCAACAATATGTTGTATACAAGAAACACACCTAGTGCAAAAAGAAGCCCATAGACTGAAAGTGAAAAGATAGAAAACAATTCTCCATGTGACAGGAGCCCAGAAAAAAACAGGGGTAGCAATCTTATTTGCAGACAAAGTAAATTTCAAACCAAAACTGAATCTAGTATTATTGATGTAGGACAGTACTGTATCATACCTCTATGAATGTAAAATATCTAGTACCTGCTTTATGATACATAGTAGGGACCGTGCTTTATCAGAGCTACATTTAATGATATTACTCTAGAATGTTCTCTTTCCAGATGACGATTAAGATGCTAGTAAAAAAAAAATGGTCCCAGGTACCACAACAGCAACAGAATTTTGCTGTTTTTCAGATATTATTCTTTTCTTTGTTTTGTTTTGTTTTGTTTTTAATGGAATGTGCTGAATGTCTATAATTTTGTTCAGATGACTGCAGAACCTGGAAAAGCTCTTGCTGCTATCAATGCCTAATGTACTATTATTAGTCTTTTTATATAAATATATATATACACATATATATATATATATAAATTGAATTTTGGGAAACTTTAACGGTGCTGCCAACTTTGGAAAAAGTCATCCCAATTTACTGTGTTGAAGCACTGTACTGAATATGTAAGGTCATATCTACATGGGTTTGATTACAGAAACTAATAAAATATTCTCTAAATAATGAAAAAAGAATAAGATAAGACTCTAAGAGCAAGAAGCAATTTAAATATGTTCGGGGACCATTTTCATCTCCAGAATTAAGGATTATTTTAATGTTACATCATTGCCTTTTCTCTTTTACTTTCCTTTTTAGTTTTATTTTAGGATTCCCTATTTTTAATGTTCATACAGAGATTTCTTTAACTGAAATACTGAATAGTTTCTTTGGTGTGAAAAACTATAATAGTACACAGGATCCTAATGAGATAATTAATAATGTGAAATAGGAAGTAAAGGGCTAAAGGTGTAGGGAAAGTGGGAAGGGTGGGGGAAAGGTAATAAGGGAGAGGAAAAAAATATGAGAAACTGAAAAAATGGAAATAAAGTGTTTGTAAATGGGGAGGGGAGGAGGGGTGAAGGGAGGGCAGGGACAAGGGGGAAAAATGAGAATCAAGACCTATTATGTAAAGGTACAGAATCCCAATGATGAATGTAACTGTATTGTATACCTAGATTGTACCAATAAACTCATTTAAAAAAAAAAAAAGAAATAGGTATGCTGGGCATGGCCTGGAACAGTCTGGGCAGCAGGAAAGGAAGAGAAAGACTTCTGGGTGGGTCTGGAGACAATGCCCCAGGTGGGTTCTCCATATACTCTGGGTTGGGTCCAGATGCGTCTACCTGCCCCACTGCCCCACAGTCTCTGTCCCAGGGCTACGAAAGTCACTTGGAATGTTTGCTTCACTCTGGAAACAGTTTTCGCCCATTGACCTAGTTTCTGCCCTTTCTTTGTCTGATATCCCAGGAGACAGTTAAGCAAAGAAGCTGCTGAGCATTCAGAAAAATTCCTGGTAACTGCCTAGGGACTCTCCTACCTCTCCCAACCCCACCTGCTCCAACCTGAGCTTTGACCCATTTCCATCCCTGAGCCTGCTCTTTGTATTTGTGGATGTTTCCTGGTTGCATCAGACTGAATTCAAATGCTCTCTGAGGCCTCTGGTTCTTTCCACCTGCTGGTTCTTTCTGCCCACTCTCAACCTCAGCACGAGGCTACCCAATCCAGTAACGAGAGGCTGCTCTCTACTGGCCACCTGTGCCAGGATCTTCCTCCCGGCATCTCAGGTAAACTCTAGCAAGCCCATGAGGCTGCTGTTACTGGTCCTGTTGGAGATGGAGGAACGGATGCCACCAGGAGAAACTGCATTAGCCCCAGGGCTGGGGATTTAGCTCAGTGGTGCTGCCACCTGCCTTGCAAGCACAAGGTCCCAAGTTCAATCCCCGGTACCAAAAAGAAAAAAGAAAAGAAACTACATTAGCTCAGGACATCAACAAGCTAATGGGAAAGACACTATAATCAGCATACAAGTTAGTTACCTAGCTTGGCCTACTTAGAATGTGTACACCCACCCTACCACTTGCAGTTGTAGCAGCTCATTCCACACCACCTCCCTGCCTTCCTGTAGCCTGGACTCTTTCCCTGCGGTCTGCAGGCAGCTCTCTGTTGCTACCTGCTCCTCTCTTCTTCTTTCACAGTAGCAAGGGCACCTCCATCACCAAAGGCCAGGCTACCTTGGATGACACACACGCTTCAAGTGGATGAGCTACAGGTGACAGGAATAAAGTGGACCAGGATGAGGGAACTCACAGAATCCAAAGAATGTAGACGCAAGCCCAGGGGCAGCTTCCCCGGTTCTGACCTTTCCTGTGATGGCACTCGGGAGCTTCTGATAGTCAATTCGATCGATCAACAGATAAGGACCCTAGCCCAAAAGCACTCAGAATCATGACTTTCCAGGGTAGAAAAAACAAGTATGCGTGATTTTGCAGGCCTTCACAGGTACCGCTGCTGGTTATCAAAGCGAGTGTCAGGAAGTTTTTTGAAAACTGTCCTTTCAATGCAACGAAATTGAAAGTGAAGCTGTCTCCAGGTATCAAGAACAGGATTCAACCAAAGTAACATGATAGATGCTCAATAAGTACTTCCCTGC